AAATGAATGACATCAGACTACATTTCAAAATAATAAAGAGAAGTAAATACCCGTTATCTGCCTTCTGCTAGCTCTTCAAAATGAATGACATTATACTACATTTCAAAATAATAAAGAGAAGTAAATACCCGTTATCTGCCTTCTGCTAGCTCTTCAAAATGAATGACATTATACTACATTTCAAAATAATAAAGAGAAGTAAATATCTGTTATCTGCCTTCTGCTAGCTATCGAAAATGAAAGGTATAAGAGCATATCTTCTATGTACGTCTCAGTTGAGAACTGAAAATTATAGAGACCAGTAAATACCTGATATCTCTTTTCTATTTGCAATTCTGAATGTTCACAGGAGTAAATATCTGGTTTTCTGGGGAAAATCAGATTTCAGAGATCAGATACTTAGTGAAAACTGGTTACAATTTAAAATTTACCATGACTTTTATTTATTGTTTTATAGAGAATGGCAAGTAATGCCGATGAATTGAAATTATCTACATCGAATTCAGTTCAAAATGTTCAAATGGAAGAGCAAACTACAAAAAATGTTATTCTTACAGAGCCACCTTCTTATGAATCATGTTTAAACAATACATATACATCTCCTCAAGTGCATTATCCATCTCAATTAGGTTTGAGAGACAATGATCAATGTACACAAGCATTCATCGGAGTACGATCAACTTTTCCAAATCAATCGATAGACCAGATAGAAACTTACATGGTTTGGTCTATTTTTAATATATTATGCTGCTGTTTATGTTTTGGATTTGTGGCTTGCTGCTATGCAAATAAGACTCAGCGATTAAAAGGAAGAAATGATTTTCAAGGTGCACTAAAAGCTTCAAAGCAAGCTCAAATCTGGAATAGTATTGGTACAATGTTTGGTATATGCAACTTAATTTTTGGCGTACTTTTTAAAATGTTAAAATAATTATTGCAAACAATGTAATTGAATAGGTCGCTTTTTTCTAATATTTAATCTTGAATTTTTTTCATTTATTGATATCAACTAATAATAAGAGAGCATTAACGAAGAGTGCTGATTGCTCTCAATAGATTGATAATATCTATGAACAAACTTATACACGGTTAATTAACCCTTAGGAACGAGGTTACTGTAGCAAAAATAAATCATGTTTTTGAAATACAGAACAATGCATTTATTCGTAAATATGAAGAATAAACAATTAGAAGTATTTCAACATATGATAATCGCGTAAACAGCCAGAAATACAAAGTCCGACGTTACATTCAGTGCATTCGTATCTGGAAACAGCTCTCTTTTTAACTCTTCTTCTTGTATTTGCGCAGACCACGCATTGTTTTCTAGGATTTTCTCTTGCGGTTGTTGACGGTATAAGTGACGGGAAATGGCGACCAATAAGTCTATTAGGATTTTCTCCAAAGCTAGGTCGACCTCTTGGTACTTTTGTCTTTTCATACATCTCAATGATTTGACGAATCAACTGTAATCGAAGTTCATACAACCGAATATTGCTACGAGTCTTGTGTTTGTATAAAAGGAACGAATTGAGCACAGATAAAGGCATCAAATGGAGAAGTTTCTTGTACTATTTCGTTATCTTTCGAATAAACTCAATACAACTAATCTGCATATAGGATATGTCAATGGAGTCCATATTTGTATTGTATGCTATCACAGAAGCTGGTTTTTGAATTTGTTTATTAGTTTTTCCGTGAACTTTTTCAGTATTCATCATTTTTGCTTCCTGTACTGTCAAAAGCATGGTGACTTCTCTCTTGTCAAACCATTTTACCACAAGTAAAATATTTGTGTTCCGGTAATTGCTGTCACCTTTTTGTAACGTAATAGTAAAGTATGGCAAGCTGGGGCGATTCTGTCGCACAGTACCGCAGGCTCCTGTTGAGTTTGCATGTAACTCTTCGAAAAGAATTAAACTTGAATACCAACTCTTCATGAATAAATTGTGACCTTTCCGAAGATACGATTGCATAAGAGTCATTACGATGGATTCTGGTATTCCAAGCTCTTTACTATGATGAATCTCTGCTGCAGATTCCATGTAAATCACGAAATACAATATATATCTAGTGTGACAATCGCACAAAACAAATAGCTTAATTCTGAATCTGCTTCGTTTGGATGGAATGTATTGTTTGAAACTTAATCTCCCTTTGTAAAGTATCAAACCTTCATCAATACATAGGTTCTGATATGGAACAAAAATTCGTCGGAACTTTTGCTTCAAATCTTGCACAACAGATTTTATCTTGTATCATCTGTCTCCTTCAGGTTGATATGTATTACCATTAAAGTGCAGACATTTCAAAAGGAGTAAGAATCTATTTCTAGGCATGATATCACCAAAAACTGGTGTTACTATCAAGGGATAGGTTGACCAGTAATCTTTAATTCTGAACTTTTTCATATGCGCCATTCATATGAAGGCCGCCAGAAAAAGATACACTTTTTCAAAATCAGTTGGAATCCATTTCACTTGATGTGATGATGACGAGGTACGTTTATCAGATGAGTTTACTTGAAATTTGTTTGTCTCATCAAAAATAATGTGAATCAATTTTCGATCAAAAAATAACTTAAAAAAGTCTAACGGTGACTCTCCATTTAGGTCATAAGCGATTCCACAACCATCTTTTTGAGACTGGAATAGTTTTGGCTTCAAATTTGATTTTGTCCACAATCTTGAAGTACAAGTTGAACTAAGAAATGATGGAACATCTTCATCATCGAAAACGTCTGTAGGACTCTCGATATTAGGGTCACTATATTCGCTAGTCTCCGATTCATGTACAGTTTCTGTATCTGATGCACTATTTTCATCAGTGTCCGGTTCACTCTCGGTTTCTGCATCTGATTCACTTTGTGACTCAGGATTGGTGAAAATTTTGTTAACTTCAATTGTGTTTTTTTCTTTGAGGTTGTGGGTGGGTGTGGGTGTGGGTATAGATGCGGATGCGTGGGTGAGACAAAAAAAAGAGTAACACGCACACCCACACCTACACACCCACACCCACACCCACACACCCACACCCACACCCACACACCCACACCCACACCCACACACCCACACCCACACCCACACCCCACACCCAAATCTTTGATGATCATTTTTGACAAAATACATAAACTTAACCGACATTTTCGACTTTCGTTGGTCAATTGCGATATCGAACCCCTGATTTCCATTGAAATACCGTCTCAATTACGATATTTAAA